GATCTCTCCCTGTCATTTATGACCCTTCCACCCCTCCACACCTACTCTTTGCAAAGCGTGTAAAAAACAGCTTTTCATAGCTCTATTAAATTAGCAGATCAAAGAGCAACCTTTCCACAATTATTTCATAACACTTTCACTGTCACAGATGTCTCCTAGACAGGAAGAGCAAGCCAATATGAACAAAAACCCCCTGAAATAATAAAGAAGAAATAGGAGATTCCTCTTCTTAATGCATCTGAAAATGCAAGAAAAACCCTAGAAATTTTTATTAAAACAAGAGAACAGAGAATTGCTAACCCAGAGTGGCTTAGTTTATTTGATTAAATTTAATCTGATAACATATACTAACTGAGAAACTGGACATGCCCAGAAGTATCTTCTACAAGTTAATATGAAGAAACATAACAACATAAGAGAAGCATCTTGTGGCTTCTATATTGAAATAACACAGTGACATGAGCATGGCATGCACCTTTATTCCAGAGCTTGATCAAACACCACTCAGTTTACCAAGACAGGAATAGAATAAGATCTTGAATATGAAGGTAGGTGTGGGATTCTAAACCTGTGAAACTGATTTTGAAGAAATATATTTGTATAGTTAGTACAGTCGTAGTCAAGTAGACTCACCCACTCTTTTCAGCCAAGGGAAGTAGACATGATAGCTCTTGAAACATTTACTCCAGGCATATTTATGCTTTGTCTCAATGATGGCAGGGTACAATTCTGTATTACTCAGAAGAATCACAGTAACATTTGGTTCTGGGAAAACTCTCTACACTAAATGGAATCTTTTAGAAGCCAGAACAACACAAGGGAGCCAAGGCATAAATAACACATTGTCTCAGGACAGCACTTTGGTTCCTTCCCTGTATAAAAGCTATTTATGAACCTGTTCCCATACCTGTGGAAAGACTTCACTACTTCTACCTTCCCAGACTGAGTGTGAAATTTAACAGACAAGGTTTCATCTTGATGATACTGCTTGCTACAGTAATGTCATATAACTTTTTTATATATGTATCAAAGACCATAATTATATTAAAATGAAATTTTCTAATTTTCTAATATTATAATTCTAATATTATAATACTATAATTCTAATATTCTAATTTCTCTTAAGAGTGTTTAATATTGCATTATCTTTGAAATATTTCTCACAAAACTGATAGTAATTTTTTTACACAACAACAAAAGCAACAACAACAAACAAAAAACCTAACAAAAAACCCCAAATCAGCATGCTATACTTAATTATGTGTTTACTGATGCAGTTTCCCAAGTCATCTTTTCTTTCTTATTCCAATTAATATGCTTAAAAACACATAGACAGCAAAAAACGTTAAGGACTATAAATCATTTTTAAAGCTGCAAATGAATTCTGTATTAAATGAAGATATTTTAGAAATGCCAAAGAAGATCAAGGTAGGGAAAATGTTAGCAGTTATCAATACAGGCTGTCTTTCACTGAAAAGAGTGACAGGGATTAGATGACATTTGGAAGTGGTTAAAAATAAAGGCTTACATAGTCAACAGTAGTACTTTTTACCTGTTCCATTACTTATGGCAATGCTGCTTTTAAGATTAGTGCTTTTTCAGTAATCACTTTTGGGGTGTAGGATACTTTTTCAGTCAAATTACTCTGTTTTCCTTAAACATTATTTGTCCAGATTTATTTCTGATGCAATTCCTTTGACTTCTAGCAAACTATACCTTGGTCATTGCTCCTATGACATTAAGACAGCACTCTACTCTTCTGCACTTAAAAAATGAAGAAATTACATTCATAAAGACTTTCTTGGTTTTCTTTAGGTAAAGCAACATACAAGTACATCTGTACACTAAAATAACTGTACTAGTAACTTTTAAAGTTACATGTCCGTTACTATAAGCTGCTTTTGGGGAAGATGACAGCAAGAACTAAACCAAAACAAAGGGGGAATCTCAGAAGTCTGCAGTTGAGTTTTTACCTCAGTTTCCAATTTCCAAAAGGAAGGTGAATTAGCAGATTTTCAAATTTCTAGATACAAAATTTGGTTAGAGTTTCCCGTAGTTTACCAATTGCTCCTATTTTAAAAGCAACAGTATGCAAAATCTTGTACCTGAGAGCATGAGATCTTCTCAAAGCTGAGCTACTTTTTCTCACAGTTTAAGTCACTTGGCAATTTCTTTAAGCAGAACATGCTGACATTTCATGCCAGTTTCATGTATATTTCACAACTAATTCCATGAAGTGGTTAGTGAATTTAAGAAAAAATGCTGATAAGACTTTCCTCCTCCTTCTTGGGAATAACTTTACCATAGAATCAGAAATCTATAAATCTACAGAATGATTTTGAAAGGAAGCACACTTTGGAGGTCATCTAGTCCCATTCGCATCTTAAAACAGGACTATTCAAATCAAGATGCTGAGGATCATGCCCAATTTATTCTTTAAGGACAGATATCTCATAATTGCTGTAGGAAATTTTCTTCAGTATCTAATCCCCCTCATGGATAAAAAGCCAGCCAAGTAGCAACTAACAAACAAGCCAACCAACTAACCAACTAACATAAAATCTTCTTATACCTAATGGGAATCAAAGCAAGCTAAAATTTTGAAAATAATTCTCAAAGGTGCATGCATCCCTGACATACCTAAAGTGGGGCATGCTGATAGGTTTACACAAAATTATCTGTTCTGCATATTGGATTTACAAGCTTTTCCTCCACCAAAGACATTCTATAGATGTTTTTTCACTTTCTGGAGGGCAAGTATTTTCAAGGAGGACTGAACAGCTGCCAATTTAAACACATTTTAAACAGCTTGAAGAAACAATGCATTTTTGTGCTACCTGAAATATAAGTGAGAGGTAGCGATGTTAAAGCATGAAAGTCCCAAGTGTCCTGGGGCAAATGTAACCTCTAGAAAGCACTGCTGTTCCTCAATATGTTCTCATATCATGTGCAGGATGTGAGGAGGGGGCTGGGTCTGTTTCCAGTTTGGCCAGAGTGTGCAGGTTTTGCAGTCAGGTGGCGCTGGGCTCCAAGTGCTGAGCAATGGCCTGTGAATAATTTTCCTGTCTTGTACACTCTGTTATCAGTATTAGCAGTGTTATTTTGCTCTTCTTATTTCATTACTGTTTCCAGTTAACTGTTCTTGTCTCAATACAGGTTCTTTACCTTTTAGTGCCACCCCTTCTCCTCTCCATTCTGCCATAGCCAGGAGGGAAGGAGTGAGCAAGCAGGGTGTGATCTTAGGTGTTTCAGTGGGAAAATCAAAATTGGAAGCATCACTCCTAAATTAGGACAGAGGGATTTCTTGCTTTGTCATTATTATGTATTATGCTGTCAAAGTCAGTCCAGAGGTAAAGTACTACTGATTAACTGTCAGTACTGGTAGTAAAACAGAGAAATCATTGTATTTCCTTTAAAGAAAGGATATAGATCATCAGAGATAGATGGATAGATAGATAGATAGATAGATAGATAGATAGATGGATAGATAGATAGATAGACAGAGAGATAGATATATAGATAGATACATTATGTACATACATACATGCATACATACATACATACATACATAAACATATATACAAACTTAAATTACTACATTCTTATACATATATATATATGAAATTAAATATCATAAAAGATCAGTCTTCACAGAAGGCTGTAACTCCTTATCAGGTCTTTTTAAATGATCAATTTAATGCATTTATAGATCTGGTTTTATACTATGTTATATATGTGATACCACAGTTTTTCAGTATTTTCAGATTACGAACTTGAGTTTATTATTCTTTTAAGTGCTATAATTATTTTTGAATTTCTAAAACTGTCTTTCCATTTCCCAGCACTTCACAGCACACCAATAGCCAAAGGCTGTGTGTATTTGTAAAGAAAACAGAAGGGTTTATTCCAATCACACTGGGGAGTTAGACACTATTATCCCTAAACATTTCATACTACTTGTCCTCCTGAAAGAGATAGCACTACTTTAACTGCACTGACTTTCTTCAGGGAAGAAAAAAAATCCACAGAAAGATTTTTCATAAAAGGAAAACTCACCTGAAGCAAACATTTGTAAGATTGAGGCTGGAATAAATACCTGCTTTAAAATTACAATTTGAAAGTCTAGAAAAGTTGTGGGGTTTTGCCCTTTTTTTGCTTTATTTTAATCAGTTGTCTTGTTTTTTGGCCAGAGTAGAGTTATTTTTTCAGTATCCATGAGAGAGCAGAGCCTGGGGCTGTGTGGGTGTGACTAGGTTATTATTCTAAACCACCTAAGGTCATGCTTGGTGGCAAGAGTAAGGGGTTCCTGCCTCTGAGAAGAAAGTGGGCATAGCCTGTGGTCAGCCAAAAAAGCTTGGAAGCTCAGAGGGTCTGTCCGCAACTGTTTCTTATTGTCCCAGGCTTTTGAGCATTTTTCCATGTAAATCACCCTCCTTTGCACACCTCTGGTTTTTCATATTTTTGTAATTGCTGTCCATTTTTCTTATCTCATTGCTGTTCCAGTATGTTGGTTTTATCTCAACACATAATCTTTGCCTTTTGTCTCCCAGAGGAATGATAGGTTGAGGAGTGACTGGTGATTTGGAGTGCTATTCCTAAACCATGACATTAATAAAATAAATAAACCAGAAAAATAAGATTTTACACACAGATCCTTCATTTCATAATTTTTCACAAATTGAAAAATGTAGACCTGGCAAGGCTGGGAAAAAGATAGGAGCATTGTATACATACTTAATGGATAAAAAAATAATTTTATGTGCTAACTACTCTGTCTGGAACTGAAACTACTTGGATCTATGACAAAACTGCATCTCAAAGAGCTAATGAGATACTGAGCACTTTTTTTTTTAAAACATAAATCAAAATTTAAGCCATTAAGACAGAAATATTACATCAAGAATAAAACCAACAGTAACTGGGATCTTGCTACAAACATAAATGAGAACATCAGTAGAAAAACCATCATCAATACAACAATAACAAAAAGATAAACTTACCAGGTTGACACTGCTCATTTTTCAGAATTGTGGTGAAAGTCTTCCACTACTTCCTTCCTTCAGACTAACTTAACACCAACCTGATAAGAAAATAAATAACAAAAAACTCAACTCCCAACAAATAAAATGCATAAAATAAAATAATATTTTAGACAAAATGACTTGAGTTACTGAAATCCTTGACTAGATCAGTGAGATGGATGATCTTTTTCCTTTCACTGTTTTTGTAGTTTAAGAGTGAGTATCTAGCACATATTTGACATTAAACACTCATAAAAAAGAAAAAACACATATGTGAAAACTGTTAAAGTTGCATATCTATTCAGTTTCTGACTGTTTTTAAAATTTAATAAATAATAATGGAATCTTTAGAAATGTAATTTATGAAGTTGTAGTCCTACATGGCAGGAGACAAAACTTGTTGCACATTGAAATCTACTAGAAGTAGTCTTTTATGTCTCATTTTTTTCAAAGTGTACTTAATGCTATTGCAGGTTTAAATTACTTAAGGAAGAGCTTACACAGCACTATAGCGCAGTCATTGATTAAAAAAAATCATAGCTTTTTTTATGGAGGGAGGAGGTAAGGCAGGTTTAAAGGAAAACATCACTGGGGAGCTGAAATCTACAGCGTGGTGGCTCTTTAATAAAAATCCTCCTTCTGGTTATATAACAGTTGCAGTGTCATTCTTACAAGTGATAGTACAGATATTTAGTTCATGAAATCAAATAGTCTTCCATATTTCTACCTGGCACAGGGTTTGACTTGAAAATATTGACTTATTTTTAGGATTTTTTTTTTTTTAATTAAGGTGGCATTTTGGATTCAGGATTTTAAACAACTTCTACCATTTTGGTTTTGAGAAGCACTTGGTTGTACAAGATATCACCAAAAACTAGTACCAAACTGACAAGTCATTTAAGAAGATCTCAGTTCCTATGCTTTTATTTTTTTCCTGAAATAATAACCCACTGGTTTATCATACTGACGAGACAGGGTTAGATTAGTTAGGTTTATTTTAACTTTGAGGTGCCAGAGAAGTCAGAGAGGAAGGTTTCTTTGCTTAGCAAATGTCTTTTTGCACAATCTAATGCTAATTTTTCTCCAGGTGCACTTTTAGGTATGCTCTTCTAAATCACAGCTTTGTAGAAAAAAGAGAGAGGCTGGACTTAGCTATCACGAATATGCTTCCAAAGTTTATTTCTATAACTAACACAAAATCTATTTCTCCACTTTCCGTTGTTAAGATCTCAGTCAAGACAACTCTTTGTATTAGAGTAGTCTCTGCTTCTTAAATTCCATTGCCTTCCAGCTTTTACAGCCACAATATTGTGATTCATGTTGAGAACTGGACTTAATGTACCAGGCTTTTTGAAGTTTTCTAAGAAACACAAAGCCATAGAACAATTGTCTGGAAAGGACCTCTGAAAGTCTGATCAATATCCCAATTCATATGCTGGATCAAGACTGCATTCAGAACAAAGATTCATAAACCTAAGTATTGAAAAGTACATTTTCATGACACATTTAATCTTAAAAGTTAATAAAGAGCTATAGTTTTAGCAATTCTGTGTCATTTTTACAAATTTGTAATTTAGTTGGTTTTGATTACTATTTTGAAATTAATTGTTTTATATAATTTTCTTTTACCTTATTGCTATCCCTAATTTGAGTACATTACATGTTCTATCTATCCATCCAGTTTTAGATATTCCTGCTTCCATATCTGGATCAATGAATGCATTAAAATTTGCCCCATTTATGTGACAGAAAAACTTTTCTTTCAAACTACTTTTAAAGCTAGCAAAAACAGTTACTTCATCCTCTGTATAATGAATGATATGTTTTCTAAGAGTAAATATTTTTTAATAATCTACTTAGATGGTATGAAGGTTATCAGAATGATTTTTGTGTTTTTTCATGACTTGGAGAATGTTTTTTTACTGTCATAAACCAGGAACACTAGAAAATTTCTTCACTGTTCAATGAACTTCTTTGCTTTCAGAATGCACTGTTTAAATAATTTTCCTTCTAAAGTATTATGAGGAATTATGTTGCGTCAGATGCACTGCTAAATGGTACTCTAATATTGACCTGTGTTATGCACAGGCATAATACAGGTCAATATTAGGAATTGAGGAAGGCTGTAAGAATACTCATTTGACTTGTGAGGCATTTTGTAGAATTCTTGACAACAAAAACTAAGCAGCATAAGTCAAATTCATCTGTTAATGAAGATGAAGAGGCAGTCAAGGTAACCCCAAGAGGCAAACATAGAAATAAGCTTTAAGAATTTGGGATTAAGGCAGGCAAGACCTTTGATATTTCTTCTTAAAATATTTATGCCATTCAAAAGATTCAACTACTGAACTTCTGGATTATGCATAAAGGGTGACATGATAAAAGATTTAAACTCAATATGCTGAACATAAATGTCTGCTTAGAATCCTGTACCTTTTCATACTGAAAAGTCAAGGCCAAGAATTTAAGCTTAGTTCTTGTTCCATTCTACACTTTCTTGTCATTATGGTAAGATCAATAATAAATTATTGTCTCACTGGGAAAAGAAGAGAAACAGAGAAAACTGAGACTTTGAGTTATAGTTCTTTTCTGGAGATAATCTAGTAATTGCTTCAGGAGAACTTATTTTCTTGTGTTACCTGACTTTGGGCCAGTATCTGAGCAAAACAAGCTATTTACAAACTACAAAATAATTTAAAAAATTAAAGTCTACTCTGGAAGCATGGCTATCAGAGGAATACAAAAGAAATTGTAGTTCAATTTTTACAACCTTTATGTCATGCATTCAGTGTGTACTTGGCACTAAAAAGAGAGCAGAAACTGCCTCTGCCCTTCTCTGACACACCCATCCTGAAGAGTCCCAGCATTTCCATAAAGGCATTTTCTTACTTCAAGCACATGCCTTATTCCCTCCCCTCAATTTTTTATTAATGAAATTGAAATGTACAGTGAAACCACATGACCAAGACAGCAAAATTATAGGAGAAACAATGGAAAAAAATTAAAAGAAAAGCAGAAACACTCACTGCCAATGTTCAGAACAATCATGTGAGAGTCCTCCACTTTGAGTAAAGCCTACTTTCCTTTCATAGAACCATGTTTCTCCAAATATATTTTACTTGACAATTATAACCCTATTTCACATATCTAACACAGTTTCATAGACTCATAGAACAATTTGGTTTGGAAGGGATATTTAAAGGTCCTCTACTCCAAATTGCCAATTGGCATTTTCTCAAAATTTGTTTCCTCTAATGAAGTGCTTCAGCAAAAAAACCTCCCACAAATTTTTCATTATAATCAGCTATATAAAGATATAATTGATCTAGCATGATACTTTCCTAATGGACTAACCAGAAGGAATTTCCTCCAGTCCTCACATTAGGGCAAAAATTTTACATGATCAATATAAATATTAATGTCTTGAGACTAACAGAACTAATGGAAAGACTGTGGTAAATCCATGTTTTTATCATATTAGATATCAAATTTTTGGTTTGCGTCTGTCTGTGGGCAATGAGTACTCATTTGTTTTTGGATAAACTTACTACATGACTTGCAAATAGAAAGAGAGCCAAAATTTTTCCTAATACTTGACTGGAATTTACCACACTGAAAGAAGAGCTACTCTATGATCAGAAAGTAATAAAAGAAAAAAAAATCTCTCTCTCTCTCTCTTTCTTTCTCTCTCTCTTTCTCTCTTTTTAGAGAATAAAAAAGGAAAACAGCAAGATATATCCTCAATAGCAAATCATGTTCAGATTTCCCACAAAAATTTAAGGATTTGACTGTTTAAATAATAAGATAACTGCTTATGAATGATGGCCAAACACAGACATCTTATTATTTTGACTAAACTTATGACTTTTAGAGGTTTATTAAGCATACAGGTGACATTCAGCTCTGATCTTTAAACTGCCAGCACTAGGATCCAAGAGCATTTACAAAAAGGTTGCTCATTTTATACAAGAATCCTCACTTTCCCTTAGCAGTATTTGTAACAGACTGCTGCTGAGCTTAACATCTGGTCTGAGTAAATAAAGAAATTCTCAGGGTGAAGAAATCATATTTTGCTAAGTTGTTTAAGTGTCTTCCCAGCTGAGAAATCAGAAATATCTTTCCCATAGAGCAATGTGAAAAATGATGGAGGACATGATAAGCATTTGAATTGGGAGACATTTGAATTTTTGAGGGCTAATTTTTTGTGCTGTGATTTTATTTTTTTACCTATCACAACTAGGAATATTGAGGTGCTGTTACCCATTAAACAGGGCCTATTAATTTCAAAAAGACTCTTTATGCAAAAACATACTTTCTCAGTGTAATCAAAGAATGTTAAGTGTTGTTTTTAATTGTATGCCACAGAGAAAATGAAATGGCACCTGGAGAAACAGCAGCTTTCACCAGGAAACCTACTATTAACCTATTAACCAGTTAACAGAACAGCAGGTATCTACAGTCTGACATCCCCAGCTTCATGAACAGATGAAAATAAACTTTGTAATTGATTTCTCAAATGGCTGCATTAAATAGAATGCTCTTCTGCCTAACAGAAAATATCCCCCTCGTTACATTAAAATTGAATGGCACACTTTCTAGAAGGATGGTGTGTGTATATATACATTTCAGCTGCAAGGCATCTGAGAGATCCTGTCTCTACCCACAACTGATACCACAACTTAATTTATGACTTGAATAAGATGCAATGAAGAGCCTAAGAGCAGTGGGCTTGAAAACTAAATATTTTATGAAATTGATCACAGGTAGGAACCCGCTATTTTTTTTAACAGAAAAATCAGATGACTTGCATGATTTGTTTGAGCAAAAGTGGAGGATTCAACGTATTGTTAGGAAATGGTGAAAACAAGATTTCCTATAAGCAGTAAATTAGTTTTTTTAATCATTGCCAGCAAAATGGTTTTCAATTCAGAAATACAGTGACTCCCTAACTGCGATTTCTTATTCTAAAAAGTCAGTTGGTGTTCCACATGACCATAATCTTATTAGAAACAAAAAAGTTTTAGGAAATTTGTCTATGGAATTAATGCCTGAGTTATTA